CACCCAGCAGGGTAGAATATGATCTAGCCTTCATGGGTGGGTCTAAGTACCGTCCCATGCCAAGTTGCCGTTGCCCTTTCCTAAACCCTACTCTAAGCTCACACGCTTGCAGTTTTAGAGGCTAACCTCCTCTGGGGTGGCTGCATTCTCTCAAGTCACGCTCCGTTCAAAAAGGGAGAGGCGAGGAAGAATACCAGGCTGGAAAGGTTTCCTTCTAGCAAGGTGGTGATCTTCAGGATGACCTAGGAGACCTGGTGTCAACTCACCACAAGTCTGATCGGAGCTGAGCAGCCAACACGCTCCTGAAAAGCCCTGCCATCCTGCACACGAGCTCTCTCCTCAACAGCAGGGTTAGGATCAGACTGCAGCCCGTGCGAAGTTCCCCTTCATTTTCTGAACCTCCCAAGACACAAAGGCTCACAGCCCCAGTGCATATTCTCCATGTTATTAGGATAACTGCTAGTCAAGTTCAAAAGGCAGCTGGCTTCCAAGTCACCGAGCCAGAAAGAGCTATAATTTCTCTCACTGTAATTTCTCTCTATGATTATAACAGTGGTTGACTGAGTCAACACAGGCAATGTCAGCAAGCAATTTCACTGAAGGACAGCAGATATCCAGGAAGAAGCACAGTCTTTGGGCGGGGAACGACACCAACATGTGTGTGGGAGCTGCCCTGGATAGACGCGGCTCTCACTGGGACATTAAACAGGCTAGAGGATCAGAGCGCCCGTAAACACACACGGCTTAGCTTCATCCTTTCTGCAGGGTGAGGAGCAGAGAAAGGCAATCCTGCCTCTGCAGACATCAGGGGGAGTTTTACCGGTGATGTTGATGGGGATTTCACCCACCACAGTTAATAAGCGACGGAACCATCACAAGACCACCCTGTTCTTAGCAGTGATACCTTCCTTCTCTAGCAGCTCCAGGGACTATTTGTGCCCTAGGGTATCAGCCTATCTCCAGTTGGAGCAACAGAGGCTCAAAAATGCCGCCTTTAGCTCAACAAAACTGTGGCTCCACAGGCTCCATGGATGAGAAAGAGCCTCTTGTAAAGAGCAAGTTCAGAACAAGTCCTTTTCCGAAGCTCCGGAAGGACTGTTCTCTTTCCATGGAATCCAGCTTAGGGAAGCCATCCTGAACAAGCTGGAGCCTATCTAATACTCCTCTCTCCCACAAAGCCGCCTGCGGATCATCCTGGAATCCTCCGTTCAACTTCATGCCCCAACACTGCATTCCGACATTTTAAAAGGGCAATAATCCAAGGTTTTTTTCTGGAGTAATGTTGTCCTAAAACACGCACAGTGCTGTTCGACCCTGGCTGACATACCCACACTGACATGGCTTTAAGGTAGGGACAGAGAAAGGATCGTGCAAACTGCCGGTTCCGCAAAGCAAACAACCATGTCACAGTATGTCATTTCGCCTCTCGGCTCTGCACAGCAAAACCAACCGTATTTTTTCATACGTCAGCAAAGTCAGCCGGAGTCGTGCCTTTGGCACTGAAGAGGGTAGAGACAGAAGGATCATAGCTGGAATTCCTGGTCGGATGGCCTCCATGGAAGGAGTAGCTAGAAAAAGAAATCAGCCCTGACTGCTGAGCGAAGCAACCTAGAGGAGGGCTCGGGAAAGCCAGGACTGGAGATCCCCACGGAACGTCCGTGAGGTCGAGCAGAAAAGGGCCAATTCAGATCATCATCGCCAGCCACTCTCCCTCATTCCAGTCGACCAGTGGATGAGTTGGGAGGCACCGGACTGGAGCCAGATCTGCTTCCCACCGGGATACATCTCCCCTGGTCCCTCACAGAAACGGGGCTGCTCCATTGCAGTTGAGCGTCGGATTCTCCTATCTCTGATGCTGTAGTAATGAATTTACTCTAAAGGGGAACGGAAGTAAATGGGAACAGGGCTTGGAAACAATAGGTTACATTCCTGAACTCCTGTGTGCTTCCCTTGGATGCGTTTGCCATGAGAATTAAAGGAACAACACTGAATTTAATCCGAGCTGAAAATGAAGTTCACTGAAACCAAACCAGACATACAGGGTGAATTCCTGGCACTGCTGAGGTCAATGACAAAACTCTCCGTTACCTCGCCAAAGCCAGGATTTCACCCGCAGTTTTTATAAAACCAACAATCAATAGAAACTTATCCAAGTTTCTTGTTTTCATTTCACTGAAAAATGTACGTAAAACAAATATTTCCCTCCAATGATTGTGAAGAGCCTTAAAGTGCCCTCCTGCACAAAAACACAAAAAAATCGAAGCATGACGCCAACTAACCTGTTTTCTTGCCCAAAATGAGGGCTATGTATAACAAAGAAAAATGGATGGACTAAGGGTATTTGTAAACCAATAAACACAAAGTTTGCTTAAAGCACAAATGAAGAAATGTGTTTTTTTCCCCACAAAGCTCACATCCATGAGGCCAGCTTTTCAAAAAAAAAACCAAAAAGAAGAACAGAGGCACACAGCTAGACACATTTCCACAAGAGGAGCATATTCTCTTTTGAAAAATCCCAGGCACGGTATTTAAAATATACACTGACATAAACATTAGTGTGCTATTTTCAGGCTGCAATTTGTTTGTGATATTATGAATCTAGTTCACTAAACGTTGTCCTATTTATCATAAAAGAAAAAATGCAGCGATCAACCACGACTCCCACCTGCTTTGGGAAAAACCAAAGGCCACCCACCACGAGCACGCTCATGAGGGCAGTTCTGCATGCTTCCTTGTGGAAAAACATTTTTGCAAATGGTATAATTTTGCTAAGAAGAGAACAGCTGAGCTGGACATAGAGCAAAGTCTCGAAGCTTTGAAGTCAAGTTGGATTATTTATCCTGCTTTCCACTGCCCAGCTCCCGCCCATCAGAACTGTCTCTCCATCATCCCAAGCAGTCCAAGGACTGTCCTTGCTGCTTTAGGATGATGTTCTTCGTTCAGAGACGATGGTGTGTTTTGGTATCCTAATCCGAGACACTCGGGAAGGCAGTAAGGTCAAGTTTAGGCGCCAGCCTCCTCTACGTGGTTTGCCCACAGCCATAATCTACATTGTGCTAATTTTTCACAGCTGCAAAATGAGGAGTTATAAAATGGGGGACTCTCCTCCAACTTTCCTAACTCAGAGATGTGTTACGAGCACCACGAGGGAGACATTCAGATACGACAGTCACACCGGCAACATACACGTACGCATATATGGAAAGGTCAAAGCATTTCTGAAGTATGAGGCTCTACATAGGTGCAACTGGGCAACTTCAGCAAATTAGTAGCAAAGAGCTACTTCAGAAAATTTTGCCTAAGCAATTTCTGCTTAAAATGTTTTTTAAAGTGCCACTGGGGGAAATCATGCTGTTGAAAGGTCAGATGCAGATGACAGAGAACATTATTTTGATCTAGTTCAATTTAACAAGGAAGAACAAAATGGTAATTCAAGTGTGAACCAGGTGTACTAGTAACAAGGAGCAACCAAAGAAACAGTCAGTGAACTGACAGTGAAAATACCATTTCAGTGTTATTAATTTAAATTGACAGCTAAGATTTGAAGAAAAGCTGGATATCAGCATGCACAATGAGACCATCCACAGCTACACTCTCACTTTACGTTCTCTGTATATGTGAGGTTACCTTCATACACAAACTTTATGCTCTAAAGTTGTAACAATGTGAAAAATAATATCCTGGGTTACTTTACAGTTATTTATTTCAAGCATTAGACCAAGTTCATAGGTCAGACACACCCTCTTTGCAAGATCCAGACCCAGAAAAAGATTTGTTTCTGAAACACAGACGGTCTAGCTGTGTTTGGACCACTGGCTCCTGCTCCCAACCTCCACATCAATCAACCCGAGTCCACGTACCAGGCCAGGGATCAAAGATCGCTCATCACCATCCTCTGAGAGATGAGGATGTTCTGGTCCGTAAGGAGCCAGGTTTGAACTGAGGGGGGTCAGGCTGATTCCTGGCTGCGCCTAAGATCTCCTTATACCCCCAGATCGGACAATAGACACTAGTACCCGTTCTGAACCCTGCTCCTTTATTTCTCTGTACCTTAACTCCCCTCCTGAGAAACGGCAGCACTCAGAGTGCATGAAAGAATGTGAGATGCTCAGATATTGTATCACTTTACACCTTTATCCTTGATTCCCACACGAGGTAACAGACTCCAGGACGCCCTGTTACAGTTTACACGCGATCAACTGCCCTGCAACAGAGAGTTTTATTTTTTTCTCTAGCTCAAACAAGGATAACAATGACTCACTTATGGAGTTTTAAGGTCCTGGCTCTGACAAGCCCAGCATCTGTAGCCGATGCAAGCGGGCACAGCCAGCCTGGAAGTCATTCATGAGGCATTTTAGAGCCAGAGGGGAACACCATGAGCGTCTAGTCCTGGTGTCTGCAGAACAGGCAGTCTGTCTGTCTCTTTATTTTGAGATATTTTCATTTCCCCATTTCTCTCTTCCTCCAGAAGAGGATAAGAGCACAAAAGGAACAACGCTTACAAAATCCGGGTGCTAAAGCTGCGTACGTAAGCGGGCATGTGCAAATCCTTAAACAGAGTGGCCCGATTTTCAAAGACACATAGTACGCTGGCATCAAGCTTCTGGGTGTGAACCATATGATGGACATCTATCCACAGACATCATGGAGAAAGGAACCGAAGCACGGAAATGCAGAGGGTCTGCTACGCATACTGGAGCCTGAGGTCAAAGTGACATTGGTTTCAGTAGGAGCATACCCAAGAATCTGGCAAAGTCACACAAGCAGCAAGGTAAACCCTGCCAACAGAGAAGACAAGGGTGAAGCGACTGCTGCAAGATGTGGAAATCCTGGGGTTTTGCTTTTCCACCCCTTTTCCCACCCCTGTACAAGCTTTCCTCAGCAACCTGGACAGACATCAAAAATCCCCCACTGCTGGTACCTGGTCCAAAGTACCCCATGACTTACGCAGCCCACAGTTTCTGTACTTCTCTGACAAAGAGGAAAAACAGCCAGCTTACTGATCATGGTGGTGCCCCCAGCCAGTGCAGCCTTGGTCCCTTGGAAGAAGTCATCAGCAGATGTCATCCCCTGTTCCGGCATCTGGAAGCGGGTGTGAACGTCAATCCCTCCAGGAATCACCATCCTGCCATGGGCTTCAATGGTTTTCACTCCCCCCGGCACAATGAGATTCTCTCCTATTTGCCTGCGTAAACAGGTTTCAAGCAGCAAGTCAGACACAAACAAGGCAAACAGCCTGTAAACATACACCCTTGTGCTACTTAACCTGCCTAGTGTTTTCTTTTTCCATATAAAGCAACATACGGCATCAGCATACATAGCTGACAATATTTTGTTCTTCCCCTTGAAGCAGTTGCATAATTGAGAGCAAAGCGTGCAATTACTTCACGACCTCAGGGCAATATTAGACTTAACAGGGAGGCAAAGGAGCCACACCGGCAGGCAGCTGCAGAAGGGACCACGCAGATCAGCCGATGATCGCGGCACCAAACACAGCAAGAACCTTGCGAGCGGCTTTACTGGGACTGGACTGGGGTTGCCCAGATTCTAGCTATCTAACAGCAATTTAGATGTTAGCATTGTTTTGGGAACACTTTAAGAATTTTGCCTCTATATTGGCTACTTTCCTTTCATGCATACATATTATGTAGTTCCTGCACGAATATAAATTCAGGCAGATACCAAATTCCTGATGAGACCCTCAAAGGTCTCTCCAGTCCAGCTCTTCACAGAAGCGTTTTTAAAAGTGCAATAGCAGGTGACACATTGCAATTAATTAGCTGTCTTTGGCCGGCTCCTTTAACTTTTAACCTTGATTAACAAAGCACATGTGCCGAGCGTTTAGCCAGAACAGGAAAATTCCTTGTTTGTAACCTCTGGCTCCTCCATTTTTTCCTAAGAGTAATTTTCCAGAGAAATCTGCAATATATTTAACATGCCAGAAATGCGTGTTTCAGGACTGAAAACTCAGAAGTGCGCTGTAAAGAGGTCTGAACCTCAATCCTTAAACTACAGGATCATTTTTAACTCTAAGGGGGTTTGGATTAATCCTTGCATCATAGAAGCATAGAAGACAGCGCTGCAGGAGACCTCAAGAGGTCACCTAAGTCCAGCCTCCCACGCTAAAACAGAATTAACTGTATTAGGATGCTGAACTCTGGATTCAAACTATCTTAAGTCATAACTCAGTAAAACGTTACAACACAGATAACTTCAAACATATGTGTCATCTCAGCATGGGGCTATCCACATGGCTAAAATTAAGCTCATGTAAGTACCTCCTTTGACCCATGCTTTAGTAACAGTGGGGTTTTGGCCCCTATATTTACTTAATTCAACACCTTGTTTTTAAAGTTCCTCCATCAAACACCAGGATACAGGCAAAACGTTCATTTTTTCGTTGCAATTTAATACAGCTGAGACCAAGTTATTCCTTGCTGATCTGCAGTACATTTCCGTACAGTTCCAATCACAACATGGTATCAAGCTTCACTTACTTTATCAACCCATCTTCCATGTAAATGTCTGCATAAAAAGACTGGTCGTCGTTAACTATTTTACCACCTTTGATCAAAAGACGATCGCTCTGCAACAAAGAAGCACACAACAATACATAATTATTCTGTGAGAAAGCTGACAGTCCACGGCGTCACTTCAGAGATAAAAGAGTAGAGATGGAAACGACCTCTGCATTATTCAGAAGTGCATGTCAAAACACAAGTCAACTGCTGCACTTTCAACTGGAAAGATAAAATATTTTATTTCATCCACAAGTCCTTTCATCACACTAATGATCCAAAAAAATCAGAACAGAAAAGGAGTTGGGTTCCAGCGGGCTTGTCTACTTGGCAGCTTCACTCATACCTGCACTTCGGCACCATCACCTACAGCAAAAGCGTTAAATAATACTTTGAGGGATGCGTAATAGCCACATCTCTACTTTTTCTGCCTTGGTCATATGCAAAATTTCCTATATGCACCCACCCACTGGAGTCACTACTTGGCTAACCGTGAGTCAACTGCTGTCAGGGAAGTGGACCAAAAGTCTGTTGCCACCGGTTACACAACACAAACAAACTCATTTTGTCCCCCTTAGTGATGTTTCGGTGCAGAGGATACTTTTACTGCCTTTCCAGAGCATAATCAGATGAAAATAAACTTAATTTGCTAATGTGTGCTTAAGAGAAAGATTTAAAAACAGTTATTAAGATTCCCTCCAATTAGGAGACAGTTTGGCAGGAACAGAAGGGTAATTATACCAAGGCAGCTATCAGGCGATGCGCTTTCATCGCAGCCCAGGTTACATCTTGCCTTTGCGAGATTTTGGGTCAAAACCAAATTTACCTTTTATTGCAGCAGTCATAAACGCGAGCAAAACACGCTCCGCGGAGCTCTGGATGGGGAGGTGAGCTAAAAGCAACTGCTGCGTTCCTCTGGTTCCTTCATTCCCGACATTGCAGACGCATACGTTTGAAGCAAAGCACATACACGTTACGCAGCGTTCAGTTTAAGCTACACCTTGGCCCTTGTATCTGGGCTTGTACTTGCTCTGATTCTCTTCCCTCCTCCCGAAAACGCCCTTCTAAGAGAACAAAGCTGTACCAGCACAGCACAGCCAGGCTGGTGAAGCCAAATGCCGAATTCAAGAAGGGGTAGAAAGCAGGACTTGAACCCGGCGGTGCCTTGAACTTATAGAAGATACATATAGGAGCGTGACAGCGCTGCTCAGGGCCCTTATTTCGAGCTGGGACTCTGCTGGTCCACCAAAAGAATCGGGCATTTTCCCAAAGAGCTTATAATAAAACTGGAGTTGGACCACCCCATTCTCAACCGACGCAAGCTGACATGGCTCTTTTAAGGCCAAAAGAGCTACATGAATTGCATCACCTACTAATTTATACCACTATATCCATCTTTTATATAACTGCTAAACGGCTCTGAGATGTTAAGTGTCTCTCCTTGCCACTCCTTTTTTTTCTTCTCCTTCTTCCTACTGCTGCAATGGAGAGTTTCCCTGAATAATGGCACCAATTTGAAGACCAAAGAAAGAAAACCCCAAGATTTAAATTTAGGATCTGCTGTGAATGCCAATAAGCCTGAATGAATTAACTTGGGGCGTGAAAAACCCACTTGTCTTTCAACGCCAGCCTCTACAGCGAACTGTCCTACGTGTTTACCGTTTCCAGAAACGCCGCAGTATTTATGCCCACCTCTCGTGCAGACTCCTTGTGCTATTAAAAAGGCCGGCTACTCTTGAAATCGGTTCGTTTGACCATCGATGTCACTGACAGCCCAAGTGCTAACGCACTGGGCATCAATCAGGAAAGAAAAAAAAAATACATATATATATATATAGCGATCAACAAAAACGCAGCCTGGGCGGTTCTAATGATGCTCTGAATGCTCCGGCTAGAAAACAGGTCTCCTGCTGCGGCGGTACGGCAGGCTCTGCCATCAGCGCGAATCCTCCTGCTCGCTTCA